CTGTCCTACCTGAGACACCCTGTCCTACCTGAGACACCCTGTCCTACCTGAGACACCCTGTCCTACCTGAGACACCCTGTCCTACCTGAGACACCCTGTCCTACCTGAGACACCCTGTCCTACCTGAGACACTCTGTCCTACCTGAGACCCTCTGTCCTACCTGAGACCCTCTGTCCTGCCTGAGAAACTCTGTCCTACCTGAGACACACTGTCCTACCTGAGACCCTCTGTCCTGCCTGAGACACTCTGTCCTACCTGAGACCCTCTGTCCTGCCTGAGACACTCTGTCCTACCTGAGACACCCTGTCCTACCTGAGACACCCTGTCCTACCTGAGACACCCTGTCCTACCTGAGACCCTCTGTCCTACCTGAGACCCTCTGTCCTACCTGAGACCCTCTGTCCTACCTGAGACCCTCTGTCCTACCTGCTGCCTCTGACTCTCTGTATCCAGCTCTGACATCAACAGACAGATTAAGTATTGTGTTTTTACTTCAACCTGAATTCAGTCAGCTTTAAAAAGTCAAGAATATAATGTGTAAATTATGAAGCTAGCAGATTAAATTAGAGAAATAATCTGTGACTTGTGAATGTAAATTATAACAGGGAATCAATAAATATCATCAGAGTGGACCTGGACTCAATCTTAGCATTAAATATACTGTAGTTTAACTGATTTAAAAAATCTCAGTAATAGATAATGTCATCACTAAATGATGGCTAACGTTAGCTGATAGATAACTAGCAGCAAGCTAACTTTTCATAAGGAAAATAACAGTCCTGTCCTACTGTTTGACTTATTTTTGGTCCTTTGTAAAGAATGAAGTTTTTCCAAGGGCTGGACGTTATCAGACCATTACCTGCTCCAGTAGCTCTGAAGCGCTGACCACCATATTGTTTTACAGCAGGCAGCTAGCACCCCCCCACCCACCCACCCCCTGGGTGTGTGTGTGTGTCTGCGCGAGCGAGTGTGTGCTTGCACTTCCGAGAAAAGGAAGGGAGGAGGTGAGGGGGAAGGTGGCTCGCAGCGGCGCTTCTGAGAGATGAGAAGCAGGAGCAGGGAGGGGGCAGAAGGGAGGTGGTGGCGCAGCGTTTTTTTTTTTTTCCCCTGGAAAAAGGTAGAAAGAGGCAATGATGGGAAAACAACTGAGAGTAAACTGAACTGTTGCAGGGGTCGAGGTCAGGAAGCGGTGCAGACTCTGGCCTCCGAGGGTCTGAAGCCCCTGTTCCATCAGCTGGACATCGATGACCTGAGCAGCATCGCCTCATCAGCTGCTTTCTTCAAAGAGAAGTACGGAGGAGTGGACGTCCTCATCAATAACGCTGGGATTGCTTTCAAAGGTAAGGACTGCAGCCGTGCACGCTCCATCATGTTTGAACCATGAAGACATATATGGAGCCCTGCTGGGGAACTGCTGAGTCAGGAGAAAACATCTGAACACACCTTCTGCTTCAGCTGCTCTGTTTTTATCACCTGTTTTACCTGCCTGCTCCACGTGGAAACACATGGTCCAGGTTTGTCCAGGACCTTATTTTCAGTTTGGACCATGCTAGAGGAAGGACCGCCTCCTCTGATCCGTTAGCTCCATGTCTCCCAGACGTCCTGGTATTGGGTCTAAGTGAGTCAACAGGTTCCAGTCAGTGGCTTTGTCCCTGTTTTGAGTGTTGACATGGTTCAGCTCTGTTAAACTCTGTTTGATTTGGTTGCTTTTGCCTTTCAGGTGGGGTGGGGTCTGCACCTGGTGACCCCCCGTCCTCTGATTGAGGAGAATCTGAGTGTGTTTTAGACCCTGTGTTTGTGATTTGTTTATCTTTTTCAGCAAGCTGATGTTTTAGATTTTATAGATCTGCTTCTGTTTTGAGATCACATTTCTCTTTCAACAAGTTTGTCTTGTAAATCCTAATGTTATTGTTGTAAATCTTCGTTTTCCTGATTTGTTAGGATAAGATCATTTTCATACTGCTGTGTGAGTTTTTCATCTTTTATTGTTTCAGTGTTGAAAACAAGAAATCGTCACTTGTGCGACTTTTAGCTGTCCATGGTGGATTGCTGTTTTTGCCTGTAGGAGGTCTTTTGTTCTAGTCTCTTTCTCTGTTTGCAGGTCCTCCTTTACTTTGGTTATTTTGGCATCTTGTTTGTTTATTTTGAAAATGTTTGCCTTTAGGCATAGATGGGCTGTCTTTAACTGGACTGTGGTCAGTCTTAGCTCTGCTTCCATTAAGAATGCTAGTTTTTCTAGCATTTTTTAATGCTGAGTGTCATCAGCACTTCTTGTGCTAACTGTGACGTTTGATTCAGGAGGGTTTCTGCGTTCATTTGTTCTTTTTACTTTGAAAATCTGGAATCATTGGGCCTCATGCAAGAACATGTTCGTATTCTTCTCCTAAATTTATCTTACTTTTGTTCATACAAAGGGTTCGTACGAACATGTCACGTCAGATTCAACAAACTCTTCTATCTTCAGGAAAAGTGTGTAAATGAGCTGCATAAACTGATGAATGTGTATCAGCTGCTCGTGCAGGAGGAGAGGTGATTTACATAATTACCACCCTGAAAACACCATATAAGGATATGTTTCCTGCCCCACATACCAGAAAGTGTCCGTTCATAAATGACATCACAAAGTAAAAAAGAAGAACTAGTTCAGAGATTGAAGCTCTGCTCTCGGAGATCCAAAAAAAAAAAGTAATTTTCAGCAGCATCAGCTGTGGAATTAAAGGAGCTGCTTTAAAGCAGAGGATTGAAATGATGACTGGTGTTAATGTCGTGTCTCCTGTGGGTCGTACAGTCACAGAAATAAAAATCTAAATCATATTTACGTCCCTCTGTAGTCCTGCTACGGTTTTTCTTTGGTCAAATATTTTTTATTTCAGTGTAAACTGTGTTACATGTTTCACTCGCCCGCACCGCCCTCCCCGCCCACACCAAGTGTCGGATGCGTTTCTGAAAAAAAGCTTTTTAAAACGTCTCAAAACTTCAGTTAACTTCATATTAATATTGTAGTGTTGTACAACAAAATTAATAGCCAATTTATTTAAATTTAACCAATTTATGTTATTAGTCTAAATTATTACATTTAAAATTATAATTCTAATTAAAACAGAATACCCTATTGTCAACATAATTATGGAGTGTAATTT